TGCAGACAGCTCTTTGCAAGAGCAATTCAACAAGGTATTTTTTTTGCCTCTGTATGTTTTCATTCTCGGGAGTTTTTATCTTTGGTATATTGATTTTGGAGTCTTAAGTTTATGATATCCGTTCGGCTGTCTAAATAATTAAAATTAGTATGTCATGTCCATTGTTTTGATATGCTCGTATGTGCCCGAGTAATTTGGTATTTGATTTACTAAAGGATTCCCCTTCTCCCTGCAGGACCTAACCTTCCAAGAAGCTGAAACAATTGCACTATCCATTTTAAAGCAAGTAATGGAAGAAAAGGTAAGGTTTCAAAGATTGTGCTGTAAATATATGTTTTATTTCGTTGACTGATATCTGTCGTCGAAAATGATATTTCTGCAGGTGACACCCAACAATGTTGATATTGCCAAAGTAGCACCAACATACCATCTATACACACCTTCGGAGGTGGAAGCTGTTATCACTCGCCTATGAGAATGCATTGTCATCGACAATCTTACCGTGAGACGACTTGCTTTCTTCATTTATGATGCATGAGTTGGGGATAATCTTGTATGTCTCCTGGGGATTGAAACTTATGAAACATTAGTTTCTGGTTTGGCACTAAACTCACCTACTCAGTTGGACAATTTAATTACAGCCGATCAGAAAAGAACTCTTTTTTAATTGAATGATTATGTTCTCAGGTTCAACCATTGCTTTTTTTTTTAAAATTGATTTTAATCAAATTTGACTATAAGATAACATATACACACGGTATAATGGTATGTATGAGATCAATAATATATATACACTATATTAATAATAGAATTTAACACATTTAATCATTCTTTAGGTTAAGACTGAATTTTTAAAATTTAAAAGTATTAGGTTAAATCCATAATCTACACATAATACAAGGATTAATGAACCTATCATCAAATATAAGGTTAATGTCATTATTCCATACTGGAAGTTATTCATAGTTTTGCCATCATCTTCCACTTGTGTTGTTTATCCGTAATCGCATTCTCCACATGCTTGCCTTCATAACAAATGTGTATTGGTTCTTGTTTCCCATCATTTTCCGCTGCATCGTTAATCATATCTAGGCATTATCTTGAATTCTGCACGGCGGCTTTCACATTGAGAATCGAGTTTGCCGGGCAAGGAACCGTTCAATGGTTAATTAATTATTCGCCGGGCAACCAACCATCAAGGTATGAAAGTGCAAAAGAATTTTGAGAGAAAAATGCAAACAAAAACAAACTCCTTTTAGTCTCATTAAAATTAAATTAATTGTACAGTTCAGTGTATATAATGATGGATTGTAATAAACAAAATTAATGTCTCAGAGATCCTAATACAGACAACAGTATATATTCAAATCAGTTGCAGTAAATAAAGCTTCAAGTTGCAGACGGCGAGAATTCTACTTATTCCCTATAGGATTTGAAGTGCTCGGAGGTATTCTCCTGAAGCTTGAATCAGCCAGTTTCTGATGGTTTCTCTTGTCGGCCTGCAAATCTCCGAAAACCCAAGAAGCCGCCGTTCTCGACACCAACGAAGCATGACCGTGTCGAATCGGACAAGCTTCTGCTTGTGCTAGATTAGATAGAGGTGTCCAAAGTAGAAGAATAAGAACTGACAGTGCTCGAGTGTTTGCTTTCATGTCTGGGAATCTTTGTAGTGGGTGAACTAAATGATTGAAACAAAGTCGGTTTGATCTTGGGTTTCTCCCGATCTTGCTACTTATAAAGTTGTTTAAAAAAACAAAAGTAATGAGAAATCAAAGTGAGATCATGTGCTATATTGTTGACTGTTACATGTTGTAACTCTGACCGCAGTGTTTTGTTATTACAGAGGGATCATGTGATTAAGCATGTTGTTTTTTACTAATTTATTGTCTTCTTGGGGAGCTAAATGTGTTTGGTTTTATAATGTTAAATTTTGAGGTCGGATCTCTATAGATACTGCAGGTAATAGCTGTTAGGGCAGATATGATATATACAAATCGTAGTAGAACTAGTTTCTCCACGGCTCAAACTGATCACTCGGTCTGTTTTCAGAATAGTAATCGCCATATAACGACAATGATATCGTCCAAAATTATTATTTTATGATCTTTATATTAATAATGACTATAATAATATTCGTTATATTTATAATCACGATAAATATAATATAATTAAAAATACAATCATAATCATAATTTAAATACATCAACCTTGATAATTATGCTCGACAGAAATCTCTAATCATATTGCCGAGATTATTTCCATTCTCCACACACACACACCACAAAATTGATTTTCTAGAAGGTTGCTAATGTCATATCATTTTTCTAAAGAAAAATATAGACTAAAGAGAGAGATTTGAATATCGCTTAGGTTGAATTCAAATTTAAGCTACTTCAAGGTGGGTTCAAATATATTTTAAAATTAAATATTATTATTAGTTAGTCTTAGTAAAATTATTAAAAAAAATGTCAATACTAACTAGGAGACAGAAAATAAAATAAACGATCAAAAAATAATTAAAAATTTAATTAACGTAATTGTTGTTAGAAAAAAATGACCTTGGTGATAATTTTACAAAAAAGTAATTTTGTAATCAAAATAAAAGAATAATAGATTGATCACTAATGATGTAATTTGTCTTTAATTTTTAAAATTCGAGAAGAGTGCATAAACCCAACCATCGGTATTTTTTAATTTTGTGTTGAGTCGGACTTCGATTTAGGATAAGAAATATGTAATTTGACCCAACAATAATAGTATAATTATCATTTGTATATTTTAAGATAATTGTCATAATATTATTTTGACTTATATAATAAATAAGTTCTTAAAGTATATCTTTTTCATTCGAGTACCTAAAGTATTTTTGGTCAAAATAAATACATAAAATATTCATTTTTATCTAAGTACCTATTTTGAATAGTTTAAGTACATATTCTTAGGTACCTATTTTGACAAAAAAATAACTCTAGGTATTCATTTTGACTAAAAATTACTTTAGGTACTTACATAAAAAAATTATTATAAACCTATAATATAATTTATAGATATACCTTAAGCACTTAATTGTAATATAAACTTATTATTCTTTTAATTTTTTTTAATTAAACTTTATTTTATCTCATAAAAAACTTATATATATATATATAATATATTCAGATCAAATGCATATTTTTAATTTAGACTAAAATGGAATTAAATAACAAATGAAAAATACTATTCCATTTAAACTATAATCAATAAATTAAAAATTCAACACAGGTGGATCCATAATTATCCCTCACTAGAGGACATATTAGCAGTAATAGGCTAATAGCAGTGGTAGTTAGGGATGGCAAACAGATACAATTTCAGATTTCGTACGACATCTGTTTTAATTGGAGCGGGGATAATTTTAGTGGATAGTGGGCGGGTGTGGATTTAGAAAGTGATACCCGTCGGGTAGTGGGCAGATAATGGGTTTGATACTTTACCCGCCCCACATCTGCCCGCTCAGATAAATATCCATTACATTTTGGACATTATGAATTTAGGTGTAATTTTAGAGAGTAATTTATAAATCCTAATATTGTATAAGATATAACTTGTTATTTAACCAAATATTAGGGATAAGTTAAGTTTATTTATAAATTTTCTATTAAAACCTCTCATTTTCATTATTGCGCCGATCTTCAAAGACAGTCTAGATTCTACTTATTTTCAATTTCATATGTTACTATCAAGTTTCTGCTAATCTTCAAATGATGTTTGGATTTTGTGGTGTTTTTGGTATAAATGATTCATTGTCTTAGGATATTGGAAGTGATTGCATAATAAAATACTCGTTTTTTTAGTTAAAATGTCGAAATCTTATATCAATCTGCATGCATTGATACTGGTTGGAACAGTTCAAAACTTATCGAAACTGTGAAAACGTACTGAAATTCGGATTAGAATGGAGCTTAGAGTATTTGATATCAGTTTAGGCAAAATGAGTAACTATTAGTTTTATTTATGTGTTTGTTTTTATGTATAACTTAAGTTTGCTGTCAAGCGGATTTAGCCGGGTACATCTCTAATTGGATAGTGGGTGTGGGGATGAATTTGAGGATGTACTCGCATGGATGTGTGATTTGAAAATTTTACCCATTATAAATGGTGGGCAAGTGATGATTAAAAAATATTAAATGGATATAGAGATTGGATAGGTATCCACACCTGACCGCCCATTTGCCATTAGTGGTAGTTGTACGCTACAGTACAAGCTATATAAAGCCAACCCAATAACGGGCGTCAAAATACCCATCCGCTCTCGCTTTCTCTCTCCGTTGGATTTTAATCTCTCTCTCTCTCTCTTATTTTTCCTTTTTCTTATTATAATAATTCTAATTCCTGCTTCGATTCTCTCTTGCATCATAAACTAACCGCCTCGTTTCCCCAGGTAATTCTTCTTTTTTTTTCTGATTCTGTAATCATTTATTTGAATTTTTTGTATGATGTTCGTTACTGTAAGATCGATCTCTTTTTATTGATTTTTTTTCAGGTTTAATTAGAGAGAAATCCTGGTTTAGACTTTGACTTGTTTGATTGATCAACGAAATTAGGCATTCAATGAATTTATCAATTTTCTCTGTTAATTAATCGGTAACGATTTTGGTAATTCCGTTCCAAAAGTTCACACTTTTTATATTTTGTAAGAAAAACAAATTGAAAATTGAAACCCTAAGGTAAACCTGTTACTTAGGTTAAATTCTTGTTTTAATGTCAATCGTCGTTGATAAATGTTAGCTTAGGAAGAAAATTGCAAATGTATGTTGTTGAGTTGTACTTATGATTCTTGATTCTAGCTCGTCGAATTCATTAATGGGTTTTTGACGTCTTGATTACTCAATAATTTGACTATTTGTTCTTATTTTTCTCTGCTTTGTGTTTGAATAGTTTTAATTTAAAAGTTGAAGGAACAAAACAGAGGTGGTGGGGGTTTTATTTGGTTGTGGCTGAGACTGGTTTTAGGTTTCGAGATGGCAGAAAAATCGTGTATTAAGCGCCTTCAGAAAGAATATAGAGCACTTTGTAAGGTATTGTTTTCTCTTTGTACTATTTCCTGCAATTCATTCTATTGTTACACTTTATATGAAGTTATGAGCCTGGGAACTTAGATATTGTAGAAATCTTGTTAATCATACCAAGTTAAACTTTCATGTTGTTGCATTTTCCCAATTTTCATTTCTGTGTGGTTTATGAACTCTTTTTTCAATGCAAGGAAAATTTTATCTGGTATCCTGCCTATGAGGCTTGATCCTGTAGAGGTTGCTTAATTAGGGAATGGGCTGGAACTTTATTTTGTACAAAACCGTAGTCTATATTGTCTATTTTATTGGTTTATCAACATCAATTCAGCATTATGTTTAAATTCCTTTGGAAAATATATGAAAAAAAGTTATATATCTTCTCTCTCTATACTAGTAATTTGGAATTATTAAAATATATTGGTTCTAGAATGATTGTTATTGGCATAACTTGGTTTCTTTTCAGATATTTTAACGGTTATTCTATGAACTTATAGGAACCGGTTTCTAATGTTGTTGCTCGTCCATCCCCAAGTGACATTCTTGAGTGGCGTAAGTTTATTAAATCTTTTTTTCCTCCTTTCTTTAGATAAGCTCTGTAATAGACTAATACTAATGTCAAAACATCTTCTATAACGCCAAGGAATTTGCATACGGTCCTAAGATTTTATCCATATAAAACAAGGAAAATGATTGTCTTCATGTTGCCTATTGATTTGAAGAGTGATTCATGGAAGGAATTAACCTGACTGTTGGCTATTTATATATAGGGATCTCAGTTGAGATTCAAATTTATAAACCTCCCTGCTACCTAAGTTCTGGTCTGTAAATCTGTGATTGAGTGTGCAAAATGCACTTGTTCATTTAGTAGACTTCTGGAATATTTACAATGAAATAGAGTCCAATCCCTATTGTCGTACGATCTTATTTTAGTCTTATCTAATTAGAACTTAAAAAGATTTTGCCTTGAACCTTAATTTTGTTAGTTAATTTTTCTTGCACTTTCTAGTAAGTATGAGTTATGATATTATTAGTGATCAGTACATGCCATGTTATTCCTAATTGCTAATTCCTACTTATTCCTAATGTTGGACTTGTGATCCAACATCCAAGCTTCTCGCCTTTTTATACTGAATTAGGTTGCAGCAGTGGTTGGTTATGATTGAACTATTATGAGTTTTATTTAAGTCCTGGTGTGGATGTAGTAGATTTTATGGACTTCATTTAATTTTTCTGCTTCACGCTTTCAGATTATGTGCTCGAAGGGAGTGAAGGAACACCTTTTGCAGGTTGGCTAGTTTATCCCATTTTAGCTTGTGATTAATTTTATCTAACGGCTGTAGAATCTGGAAGTAGTTATCTCATGCCACCATCATGTTTTTTTTTCGGTGCCAAGGTGGGTATTACTATGGAAAGATCAAGTTTCCTCCTGAGTATCCCTACAAACCTCCTGGAATCACGTATGCAGTTTCGACCTTTCAAAAATTTTGATAGAAAACACACATCTCTTTGTAACATCAAATTAAAAAATTTCATTCATGTAGAATGATCACCCCCAACGGACGCTTTATGACACAGAAGAAAATATGCCTGTCCATGAGTGATTGTAAGTTTTTTGAAGAATAACTTAGGTATTCCTGTTTATCTATATTTCTAATAACTGATTTCATTCTAACCTTATTCATATTATTTTTCAGTTCATCCAGAAAGTTGGAACCCTATGTGGTCTGTGTCAAGGTACAGGATTTCAATCTGACACCATCTTTTTTAGCACCTTTCTTTACTTGTAACAGGATGGTGTTGACATGTTAAAAATTGCCAAAGATTGCTAACTTCCTTTGTTTTCTTGTGCAGCATACTCACTGGGCTTCTTTCATTCATGGTGAAATTTGGAGTCTTTTCTTGCATCTTAATTCATTTAAATTACAGTTTTGATAAGCTGCAGTGCTTCTTGCTTGCATTGGCAATGTACCCTTAAGCCAAGCTGCCTTTTCCTTGTGCAGATGGATAATAGTCCTACCACCGGCAGCGTAAACACCACTGCTGCTGAGAAACAACGCCTGGCAAAGACCTCCCTTTCTTTTAATTGTAAAAAGTAAGTTTATTGCTTCACCTCCGTTGCATTCTTTTTCTTTTCATCTTTCTGTTTTTGAGGATCTAGGGCCTTCAAATCAATTTCACCCATTTTCTGCTACTGCGATTATGCTTCTGTTTCTGTTAATTGTTTTTGGGTCGACTTTAAATCTATTACCATTGGCTGGATTCTACATTGTTATTAGCTAACAGATAAAACTTTTCCGGATTGCACATTATGTTAACAGTAAAATTTTGCTATATTTTGTTTTCGAAACTTTGCATGAGCATATTTTCTCTATGGCAGTCCAACGTTCAGAAAACTGTTTCCAGAATATATCGATAAGTACAACAAGCAGCAACAGCTTGTGTCAGACCATTTATCAGAAGAATCACCTCAAGGAGAAAACCCCAAACCCGAGATGGAAAAAATTGTCAACTCCTCAGGGGAAGAAGTTAAAAAGGCAGATAAACTGAGGGACACAAGAAACAGAAAGCAGCCGTTCCCAACGTGGATGATGTTGTTGCTGTTTTCAATATTTGGAATCGTGATAGCGTTGCCGCTGCTTCAGCTTTGATGGCCACATGGCAAGATTCGGTTATGGTTAGTGAGAATACAGTGAGTGTGTAGGTGAGGGAATCCTTTTCAATGCTCGAGTGTAGAGGGGAGTTTTGATAAGATTCCAGGGAAGGTAAGTTGGATTATAATTTGGCGTATGTTAATGCTGGTAATTTAACTCTCGAGTTTGAAACATTACGTGCTTGTAATGTTGGTTGTGTTTATAATACTTTGCTTTTATCCACTTTATGCTCTAAAGGTATCACACTCTATTTACAAAATGATTCCTCACTCCACATTAAATACTATTTGTTGATAAGTTTTGTTGTACGTTGTTCAAGAATAATTCTTTTCTTCCTCTTCCTTTCAGAATTGATTATCATATGCCGTCCTTTTTGTTTTTACTCCGGTAATGCAATTATAATTGTAACCATACAACTATTTAGGTAACACATTCAAGTGACAGTCATAAAAATTAACTATTACCAAGTATTTATATATAAAATTTGAGAGAGGAAGGTTTAATATGATTAATATTTAAAAGCAAGAGAACCTAAAATAAAATTAAATAAATTTGGAGAGATGATAATTGTTGGCACCATTTTTCGCCAACCTAAATGATAAGATTAACAAACAATAAGACATAGTTTTTATAAGAATATATCAATAATTTTATATATACTTGATTAGACTCATAATCAATTCAACTCGAATTATTTGATCTAAAGGTTGACCTAAACCGAAAACAACCGATCCGATTCGAAAAACAATCGATCCGATAATCACCCGACCAGATACCCGACCTGACCCTTTACTGTACACCGAACCAAATCTGATCCGACCGAACAAAATTAAACCGAATATAATCTAGACTAGAAATGACTCGACCCAAACCCAATCCAAATGACCCATTTGCCACCTCTGCCTACATTTTAACTTGAAAACAAAGAAACAAAAAAAAAATAATGAAACCCTGCTATGCTCTCAAATAACCCATCAAAGAATGTATCATGGCTGCCTACATTGTAACTTGTTAACAAAGAAACAAAAAGGAAATAATGAACCCTGCTCTGCTCTCAAATAACCCATCAAAGAATGTATCATGGCTGCCACGCCTAATTTAATTAACTTCACTAAACATACCCAACACTCTCACAAAATGCCAATGTAATCTCCGACAAAAGAGGGTTTTCGATCCATTTCACGACTCTTTTACCCAAAGAAACCATGGAAGAAACGAGAAAGCTTCGGTCAGGGACCACGTTAAGCCTGCAAATAGGGCAAGTGGTGCCAACTTTAAGCCATGCATCGATGCAGCCGTCATGAAAACCATGGCCGCACCTTAGCCACCGGAGTTTCTCCCCCTTGGACACCTCACTAATGCACACTACGCAATATTCAACTCCACGGCTGCTGCCTCCGATACTCACGGACCATTTGTTATAAACACGAAAGCAACCGCTGATGACGACGACGAGCGAAGCCGTGGAAACCGAGGTTACTGATAGCATATCTTTGGTTAATGGCATGCTCGGGTCTTTTTTGTTGTGTGCAAGGGTTTTGAATCGAATTTTATGGTTGTGGTTGTTGGACTGGTAATTAAGCAAGGTGGTGGTGGTGGAGCTGCTGTAGTGGCAGGTGCCGGACACGTTAAGGCAAGTAGATGGAACTTGGAAACGGAAGATGATTAGTGGGGAGAAAATGCGACTGTAATCTAAGGCTCGTTGATTTATGTTATTATTCTTGGCTTTGACGTATTCTTTTGTCCGCTATCAAACCATGTACGATAGATGTTATTCAAACAAACAATTGTTTAACATTCACTTTCAATTACATAAGTGATTACATAAATTAGATATTCAAATCTGTAATTAGCCTTCGTATAAATAGTACGTATTCAAACAATACATCTATATATTCTCCGAATATTTAATACATTATAGTTTTAATATATGAATTAGTAAATTCTCTAAATCCATAATATCCAAATTCATTTAAAATATATTAAATATCCATTAACATCGAAAGTAGACATTCAGAATTTTGTGACCAAGCATGAGCTCGTTTCTGTTTCAATTAGGGGTAATAAATGAATCAAATTTAAACAATAAAATTATGTTAATGTTCGTTTATTTTTTTAAAGATGTTTTTGTTCGATTCGTATTTATTTATTTATTTGTTTTAAAGATGTTCCTGTTTGGTTCATTCCCTTACATGTTTATTCCACACCTTTTTTTACGCTTTTATTTTATTCAACAGCCAAAGAAAAATGGTGAAATTATGCTACTAGTCCTTAAATTCTGTAGGCTTCACAATTTGAACTCAAATTCCATCATATGTTTAATTTAATTCCTACCACCGTCAATATTTAAAATGTAAAAAACAAAAATCGGATAAACGAGTTTATAAACGAGTCAATAAATGAGTTTTCAAATATGTTTGCTCGTGATATAAACGAACCGAACATATTTATTAATGTTCATTCATTTATTAAATGAATATAAAAAATATACTTATATTCATTTATTTAATTTATTAAATAAAAAAATATTATACGAAAAATTCATAAAAACACGTTGGTTCATTTAAGCTTCTTAGTTTTAATAAAACCTTCAAACCCATAAAGTAATGATCTGAATGAAACCCAGCCCACCAAATAAACAGCCCAATGGTGGCTTTCAACAAGTGGGAAAAAAAGGCCATCGTTATCTATAACCCAGCGTCTGCAAACAACAGAAATGCATCTCTTTTTAACTGTCTGTGTGATTCTCTCATGTTTCAACTTAAGTATCTTTGCATCTCAAATACCTTCCCTAAGACCTCTGTTTCTCTTGCTGTTTAGGCTTATGTCGTACTGATGTTATCGACACTCAAACATTCTAAAAGAATAAGAAAGAAAACCTCCAGCTGGAATGTGGGCGTCTAGCTTATTTTAAACTCTGTTGAGATAAGATTCCAAGTTCTGGGTTTTGATTCTTTAGGCTGAATGACCTCCCATGTCTTTGATAGGTATGTTCTATGTTTTATTTGTCATTTACATGTGTAGGTTTAATTTGTAGTTTTTGAATTTGGTTCACTTTTATGGATTTTGTGTGGTTAGTGTTTAGAGAATTCTGGGTTTTTCGTTAGTTATCCGCTCTGGTTCTCAAATTTGGTTTCTCTTGGTGTTTGTGGTTATTACAATGCTTGGCTGCCTGAAACAGATATTGCCACTGCTAAACCTTCCTTGCAAGGCCCTCTGGTTCCAGTGAGGGTTCAAGTTTTGTCAAATACATGGAAATCCTCCCCATTGCCGACGAGGATAAAAGTTCATGTGGGACATCAGGAGAACCACTGTGGAAAACTCCAGATTCGAGCCGTTGCGACCCTCAAACCCAAGTGTCCGAAACAAGATGGACACAGCAATAAGTCACAGCTTGGTGGTAATTCAAGCCCTTCATCAACTCGGCTCGAACCTTTGGAGATGGGAGACTCGGATGATGAAGTGGACGAGAGGGAAAAGTTAAGGCGGATGAGGATTTCTAAAGCGAATAAAGGAAACACGCCTTGGAACAAAGGCAGGAAGCACAGTGCAGGTAATCTCCATTAACTTATGGTACTATATTTTGATTTGTGCGTTGCTGATTTGTTGCAATGATAACCACGGATGCATTGTGTCTTTACCTGCAGAGACCCTTCAGCGGATAAGGGAGAGAACAAGGCTTGCAATGAAGAATCCTAAGGTGATGTCATGTAAGAAACTTTTATGTTATCACAGGGATCGAACTTTGTGTGCTTTTTATGTAACTGGTTCATGTAGTTCTTTCCGTCATCATAATTCCATTAGGATGAATGATGTACTGATGACAATTCAGATCGCTGAAACTAGTTAAACAGAAAAAGCTGAAAAGGAAACAATTGAATGGAAAGTCTTTTTCAGTGTGGTCTGAACTCTCACACTTAAATTGGGGATCAATGGTGCCATCTCTTGAAAATGATGATCACCTTTCACCGATTGATATTTTTCTTTTATCATGTATATAAATACGTTTAAATGGCTTAACATAATAGTTATTTACTCTAATGTAAATTTCGAAATGCAGGTCAAAATGAAGTTGGTTAACCTTGGACATGCTCAGAGGTGAGTGCTTCATTGTCAATGCTTTAGTTTTAAATTTCCCTTCTGCCTCTTCTATTTCTATCCACTTCTCTTCAGAATTCTGTATGTGTGTATCCTGAATGTTGTACTTAAGTTTTCAGCCACTATATATCGAACTTAGGTCATTTATATACGTTTTTGTTTCTACCTTGTTAATACGCAAATTAACTTTTTCATAATGATTCTACAGTAAAGAGACAAGAGAAAAAATCGGAGTGGGAGTCCGAATGGGATGGGAAAGGCGTCGCAGGAAGTTAATGTTACAGGAAACTTGCCACTTTGAGTGGATGAACTTGATTGCCGAAGCGTCTAGAAAAGGATATTGTGGTGAGGAAGAGCTACAGTGGGATTCTTACAAGATATTAGATGAGCAGTTGACGAAGGAGTGGTTGGAAAGTGTCGAACAAAGGAAATCTATGCCTAGACCAAAAGGTAGCAAGAGAGCACCGAAATCCCTTGAACAGAGAAGGAAAATTGCAGAAGCCATTGCAGCCAAATGGGCTGATCCGGTAAGTGCTTTCACGTTTCTTTTCTTCTTCATTTTACGACATCAACAATGAATTATGACATTGATCGTAGGCATCTACAGATTGGATTATTCCAACTGATGTGGATTTTTTTGTTTCTTGCTATGTGCTGAATAGGAATACCGTGAGAGAGTTTTCTCTGGCTTGGCAAAATATCATGGCATTCCATCTGGGGCTGAAAGAAAACCGAAGCGGAAGCCAACAGCTGGTACACAGTCCAAGCAAAGCCCTTCGAAGCGGAAAGCCAGTGATACAGACTATTCTTCGGCTAATGAGACTATAAGCCCAATTGAGCGGATAAGGATTCGAAGAATAAATAAACCACTTTATAAGGATCCTATGGCAAGTTCCAAGCTTGAGATGCTGAAGAACATGAGAGCACAAAGAGCAGCGGAAGAATCAAAGAAAACCGAAGCTGTTGAAAGGGCAAGGTTAGTCTTTGCCTTATGTTCCGCAAGCATATTACATTAACAATTTCGATGCCACATAGATAACTATCAGTCCGATGCATCATCTTCCTGCATTTTTTTAGTGGGCTGCTAATTCACTGCTTAACTCAATGCTACATATATGACACCAGACTTTTAATTGCTGAAGCGGAGAAGGCTGCAAAAGCCCTCGAGGTCGCTGCAATGAAGAGCCCTGTTGCTCGAGCTTCCCTTATCGAAACCAGAAAACTTATAGCAGAAGCAATTCAGTCAATTGAATCGATAGAGATCAGGCCGATTATACCCGATGAGAATAGTGGATGCATTTATGTCCACTCGGCTGAACCGGTTAGCCCAGTGGAGAACAAAATACAATCGGAAAACATTGGTATGGACCAAGCAGAACAGAAAGAAGTAAACGGGAACCAAACCCTTTCAATAACCAAGCATGAGGAATTTAATCTCTCTAGCTTTATCATCCCAAAGATAGTGAATGGCGACAGGGATGAACAACTTGCTTCTCCAAGTGCGAATAACCATAGTTTATCGACTCTCAGCTTCGAAACTTTGATAAAGTCGGATTCATCTAAGCAACTCAACTTGTTGAAAACAAATGGGGCCATCGAGCATGAGAAGAATCATCCGGTAAATGGAACCAAAGTTAAGTTGAAGGATGATGGTGGGCCTTCTAAAGCAGTCGCCATAACCAAGAAATGGGTTCGTGGTAAGCTTGTTGAAGTCACTGAAGAAGTTTCACAGGGACCATGAACTGCACAACAGATGGTCATAAGTTCCAACATACTGAGCTGTGGATTTGTGTAAAATATGTCAAATTTTGTTTTTAGTCCTTGCACTAGACATAAGTTGTGGATTTAGTCTATGTACTTTAATTTGGTTGAGATTATTATTATTGGGATAATGGAAAGACTTGAATTAAGCCAATAAGACGGGAAGAAAGAAACAAAAGGGAAGAAACCGAGAACTGAGAGAATGCTTAAAAAGCAAGAAACAGAGAACTGAGAGAATGCCTTGTGCCTTATTATTGTAGATGGAAAAAGGAAACTAAATGTTCACATGTACAGAACGGTGAAAGAATTTCAATGTATGGGTATTTCACCAGTTGGACTCCATTGCAACATATTACAAACTGCTGGGACTGAATTGAAACCGAAACTAAAGTTAAGGTGCGTATAATTATTTTACAATGAAACCCAAAAAAAATATTCAAACACGATTACAATCACCAAAAACAATCAAGCGACAGTTCTATGGCCATTACATGTAGTCATGTGTATTATCAGGGTTGTTTGTCCGTGGAGACACACCTTGGTCCGACCCTGTTGTTCTCTTACTCATGTTAGCTCGTTGTGCGAGTCGAACCAATGCTTCGACCACTTCCGACATAGGTGGACGAAACTCGGGCTCCGGCTGCACCAAAGAAACAAGCAAAGGATCAGTTTAAGGCAAAAAAATCGTCTCATTTAGCCAAAAGATATTACCTGGACACAAAGAGCAATGACATCTGCAAAACGTGAGAGAGATTTAACCGGGTAAAGCCCTTCAAGAGCCGGGTCAACCATCTTGGATAGAGTATCGATATCGTGGAGCTGAGGCGTAGCCCATCGAACCAAAGATTGCTCTAGTCTAGGCCTTGTGCTGTAGAAGAAAAAAAAGTCGCATGGTAATTAGAATTGTGATTGTAGCTAACACGTGAACGATGGACTACCCGACTTTTCATGGATGACTCCTCACCTGTCAAATGGCTTACGTCCGGTGAGAAGTTCCAGCATAACCACTCCGAAGCTGTAAACGTCACTCTTAAGAGAGTACTGACCGGACATAATAAACTCGGGTGCACTGTATCCAGACCCCACATCATCACGATTCAGTACCTGAATACCAGAATGAGAATATTTCAGTATATACATAAGCAACTACTGAAACACTTGGGTCTAATAAAGAACTCGCATCGAACAGAAGACACATAATTCGAAAATAAATGATGTACGACAAAGTTGTGTATAGTTAGTGGGAAGCACAATAGTTAACATCAAAAAATATTTACTAGTTCATGCAATAACACAGTGACTTCTAGAATTCACAAAATGTACCTCGTCAGCATTTGGAATAAAGGATGCCAATCCCGAGTCGGAAAGGTGAGGATTGAGCTCAGCATCAAGTAAGATGTTGGTTGACTTGATATTTTTATGAACGACGGATGGCGAGCAAACTTCATGCAGGTACCTGATAATAAACACCTTTTATCAATTCCATATAGCCATTGCCCATTTGCAAGATATAATAGCAGAACACAATACATACCGGATCGTAATGAATATTTAGAGATTCCTAATAGTCAACAGATACTCTACTAGCAACTTACAAATAGTTAATCTGAAATAATAATGAATCGGATATCAGTAGTTTCCGCTAATATTTTTAACCTCATCAGACAACTACCTGACTTTCCAAGGTTCAAAAGGGTCGGTAATACGAGTAGGCAAAAGTTCTACAAATAAATAATAGCTATTGCCGCCCAAGACTGAATTTTCGACTTACTCTAGAGCACGTGCAGTCCCCAGAGCAATTTTGACACGGGAGTTCCAAATCAATGGCTTGCTGTACTCATCCGGCATATGCAGGAAGTCGTGAAGAGAACCATTTTTGTGCAACTCATACACAAGCAGGTGTTGACCATGCTCCGAACAATAGCCGACCAGTTCTGTTACATTTGTGTGATGCAACTGGGAAACATTTGAAACCACCTCCATAAAATCGTCCGACATTCCGCTGGGAAGAGCTACTGAATCTATTTTCTTCAGAGCAAGAACCTATGGCAGTATGAACCCAACTTCTAGGTTAATACCGACTATAATATTTCTAAAAAAATTAAGGCAAGAAAATGAAAAACCATGGAAACAAATTTCTGAAGATCGATGATATCGGAAATTAGAAGATTAAATATGAGAATGAAAAGAGTATTTATCATGTTAGAGCAGGCAGAAAACTGAAATGGCTATAAAAATTCAAGCACCAATAACGCTCCATTATTTTGACACGACTATGGATTTTCTAGGCAGGAAGATTCTACCTTGCCATCGCCAAACTGAGCTCGATAAACACGTCCAAATGGCCCTTCACCAAGAAAATTTTCAACACTGAAACTGCCTGTAGCCATCTGCAGGTCTGCTATTGAATATGATTTAACATTTGTAGGAGGCGGGACTGATTTCTTAACAACAATAGGCTTTTTATTAAACTCTTCCTCATCGAATGATTTGTGACGGTCGATAGGAGGGGGTCGAAGATTTATTGAAATGGAAGTATCAAGTGCCTGGCTGTCAAATGAAGATGAAGACTTCATGGATTTGTTTTCTGCAACACGATTTCAAGCATGAGAAACAAATAGTTAGATCAAGAGAACTGATCATGTTTACAGTGACACTCAACTTGGCCACCATGCAGAATTACAGATAGACGATTAAGTGTTACCGTGCACTTCATTAGAAGCAAGAGGAGCAAGGGATTGATTATCGAGCTTTTCGATATCCGAGGTTGACCTCCTGGATCTTCTCTTCACAAGAAAGAACGCTACAATAGCTCCAACAACGAGGATCGATATAACTATTCCAGCTATGGCTCCACCTCCGATTCCTGAACTGCTACTCCCACCACGAGAAGCATCTGATCCAGAACCATTGCTACCAGAGTTGCGCTTTCTGTTGCTTCTAGTAGCAGGAGTTCCAGGCGGAGGTGGGGGTGCAGGCCCCGAGCTCCATGAATTACCGTCACTCCTGTCATAGAGATTATTCAGATTGAAATTATAAATAATTTTCTTTGAAACCATGAAGAAACTTCAACACTCGATAACACGGTCAAATGCTTACTTCAAATTGATGCTTTTCAATTGATCAGGCACCCAGCCGGCAAAACGGTTATTGGAAACGTCTCTGTGAGACACAAAAACAACCATTACAAACCGCAATAACATACGGTCAATTACAAGATAAGAAAACAATATATGATATCTAGCATTATCGAAATGATATGCCAGTTACCCACAGAGTATCAAGGGGAAGATTTGCAAGGACATCGAGAGTGCCCGAAAACTGGTTATTTTGCAAGTACCTACAAAACGGTAAATAATATATGTAAAGTAAAAATTAAAATTCATCATACAAAGTGTTACACAAAAGATATCTACTCTTATACTTACAGAGAGCTTATACCGGTGAGATTCCTAAAACTCTCGGGTAGAGAACCGGTCAGAGAATTGAAAGAGAGATCACTAAATCAAGGAATAAAGATAAATTTTAACTAGGTATTTCGGTTAAATTGGCTTAAAGAAAGACAATTAAAAAATTATATATGTGATCAGAGGAAGGAAGAACATCTTACAATGTGGATAGGGAAGAAAGTGACCAGAACATGTCACTCAATGCATTCTGCAACTGGTTATGAGCAAGATTTCTGAATTTCCACAAATGGGAAATTACAAAACTGTTAGACTTTAAAAGTTACGGACTTTGCGTCGAGAGATGAATAATCAGAACATTACTTACAGGTATTGAAGAGAAGGCATCTGGCTGATAGAATAAGGGACGCCTCCAGTAAATTGATTATACTCAAGATTTCTGCATTCGGATGAGCATTATAGATAAATCATTTAAAAAAATCAAGAGGAAAGTAAACAAATGCACGAATGAAACATACAATCGCTGCAAGTTCTGAGGAATATTATATGGTATGTCTCCAGCAAGATTGTTATGGCCCAAGTCCCTGCAGGTTTTCCAAAACATCAGTATGAATCAGATAAACATAGAACAGATCAATACACTGGTAAAGCTAATAGATTTCTTACAATTCTTTCAATGATGTTAAACTTTGAAGACTGTAACCCAATGTCCCAGAAAGTCCGAGATTTGACAGTTTACTGATAAAAAGGCAATAGAAGAACATAATGTAGTGAATATCAGAAAGATGTAGGATAAGCAGTCTAAAAGGAAAGCAGGGATAGAAGAATATCACATTTCGGTGACACGTTTGTTTGAGCAAGTAACACCTTTCCATGACTGCCCACATGGATCGCCATTGCTAGCAGTCCACCCTGTTAGCTGCTGTGGCGAATTTAAAGCGCTGTACATAACCCCAAGGGCAGAAGCTGCATAACAAACATGCCAACATGCAGAATGAGTAACCCGGGGAGAGAATTCCTAATTATAATAAGTACTTCCATTAAACAACATAACCAGCTAAAGCTAAACTTCCATTAAAGAGCACTTCCAAGCACAACATTAGAACATGAATGAAACCCGGAAATTCGAAAATTAATATCTCAGTTTAAAGTATCAACCACTAAGCAGAAAACTGATTTATTTGCAGAAAAAGCTTAAGCAGTGTGGCCATAGAGGAAAGACCTTGCCCTCAACAAAATCTACAAATAGATATAAACTGTCATGATTTCTGGAGTTAATATCCAACGGAAGAATTTCGATTGCCGATATGGGTTCGGCAAGTTCTAACCGTTAAGGCAGTGGTCTCTCCAGGCAGACGAGCAAAATGGCACTTTGGACCAGTCAGCAACAATCAAGAGAAAAAACAAAAAGGGTGTAAATTTGTCCAGAATCTCAAATCCCAGCAAGTTATGAATTAAATTGCCAACTAAAAAACCAAACTTTCCTCATCCTTATATCATCTATATACAATCCCACAAAGAACCCATCTCTGGAAATCAAGGTCAAAACTTTATAAACACCACCGACAAAGTTAAAATACCATCGCCATCAAACAAGTCCATTTTAGATAAAAACATAGCAGAGAGCAAAGCCCTAAA